TCTATTTTTTAAATTTAACTTCATAATAATGAGCATAAATAATATTTTATTAGTTTTATTTATATTTCATTTATTAGTTAAGTTATCAGAAAAGAATAATAATGTTCTAACTAAAATTGGATCGAAATATTTTATAGAAGTTTTTTTCTTGAGTAATAATAACAACAATAATTTAATTAAAAACATATAACAAACACAAAATCTTACTAATTACCTATCAACATTATATAAAATTGTGCAATAGAAGGATAAAAATGCAGTAGAGGACATATGTAGCTAAGTGCCAAAAATAATTGCTTTGGTAAAAGAAAAAAGGAACTGAACAGTATGTTACGTGCGGTATTTAATCTAATTTACTAAAAATTCTACTAAGAATATATCAAATATATCTCATCTAGAATCTACCCTAACATTTAATAATACAACTAGAATATATCTGTATAATATATTTGTAACAATGTAATATATAAATAAATAGCATCCAAATATGTAAGAGAATATTTAATATACTATTTATAAAATGGTTATAAAACTATTCACGTAATATCTTGGTTCTGTTTCTACATAAATCCAAGTAGTAAACAGTATAAAATATGAATTTGTATGTAATGCATCAAAAAATAAGATTATATAAAATTATCTATTTATTAATTATATACATGAATGAAATTAAATTACATACTGCATCTTATATCAAAAAGATATGAATAATGAACAATATTACATAGATAGAAATGAATAAATGAAATACAGATATTTATAAATATAAAAAACTATAAGACATTTTATTAATAAAATGGAAAATAAGATATTTTCTATGAATCACATATTGTGATCAGTTATAATTAAAAGAAAAATAAGAAATTATTGAGTTTTCAAATAACATTTTATCTCAAGAAAGAGCATTTCAATTATTATTTCAAATATTTTGTTATTAAATGTACCCAACACTGCTGAAATATCTTGTCACTTCCAGAAGCATAGTATGTTAGTTCGGTTTTAATTTTTTTATCAAAAACATCATTGTGAATAAGCTTCAACCATTGCACGTTGCATTCTTAATGAAGTCATCCAAAGTATTTGAACAACCACTCAGGTATCATCCTATATGCTCATTGCTCTGCAGAAATCTTGTGTCAATTCCTGCTTCTCAGTGAATAGATCTATCGGTAATATCAATATTAATCTTTTTTTTTTATAGAGGGATTGTTTGAAGAGTTTTCATGGCCCATTCTTGAGCTCCATTATTAAACTCAATAACTAGATAGCCCGTTTTTATCCTCTTAATGCAACGTTGTATGATGTTACTAGATTTTTACAACATGCTTGTAGAAAGGTAGTTTGATTTAATCAGAAGGGCCTCCAGTCTGCTTATAATTATGTTCTTTGCAGGTCTTGCTGGAGTGTGCGTTACTTATAGCATGTTTTGAGTGACCCACTATCCTTTTCCTAGTTTCTTTCGGATTAGTATCAAGGCCAATAGCCGAGTCAAGTCCGATCTTATCATCTGTTGTTAGTATCTGAATCCGCATCTGAAATCCACATAAGGTTTTTCATTGAAGGAACCGTGCTTTGACGCTTCTTTAACTTCCTATTTTCTTTTAGGAAGACTATCTTAAGACGTCTCTTTTTTTTTAAAGCTTACTCTTGCCTTAACGAGGCAATTCTAATTTGGTAATCAGTCATCTACATCACTGATTTTACGAGATGGGTGATAACTGTTTGACGAGATTTGTGTCATGGCTTTCTTGTGTCCTACTTTATCTTGTATTAAGTATCCTGTATCTTCGTGGACTTGATTAATCAGCTTTTTATCTTCAAGTTTATCTCATACTTCTCGGATATAATTTCTCTATTTTCCTCATAATTTCCTTACAGGAAATAAAAAGATTAAGTTATCATAATGTTTTCAAAAATTTGCAGATTAATTGTAGCATTTTGCTTTGAACCACCACCTCTTTTGTCTCTCTTCGTAGAGTTCACAAGTTTCACTTTTGTTGAATTTATTCGATTCTTTTGTATCTTTCGACAGTACATCAGTTTTGAGAAATCTATCATCATTAAGCTTTCTCTCTCGAGCATTCTCTCTCGATCTTCAAATTTCTGATCAAAGGAGAGTTTCTCGGGCTCCTCATGATCACTTTCGTGAATCTAAAGGAATCAGTGATGCCCTCATTCCCTATTTTGTCCGCAAGTAGGTTTTCCTTCAATTGAGAATTATTATTTTTATCATTTTTATGTTCAGAAATTTTTCTAACACATTATTTCAAGTGCTGAAATATAGAAAATTTAAAAAATAAACCTGAAATCTAAAGAATATTTAAGATAATAGCCATTATTATTGTAAAAATAATTTTCCAATATTAATTTTTCATTTTTTATACTAAGAATTTGCAATGAAAAAATTCAAAAGACTCTTTAATATACATTTTATCATGCCTGCAATGATCTCAGAATTTTTTTAGAATTTTTGATAGATTGATAATACAAATTTATTCTATAACCATCCTTTCAGTAGAGATAGAAAGTTCAAAATTAATGTATAGTATTTTTTTTTTTTGCATTAAATATTTACCAGATAAAATCGGTTTATAATGCAAAAGAATTACAGAATGAAATAACAAAACTGTTTATACTTTAATATTCTCTTTATTTCAACGGATGATAATTTTCTTTGCCAGAAGAAGGGCTTAAATTTTTTGCCAAATTTGCAGGACATATATTTCCGACTTTACTAAAAAAAAATCAAATTACGAAAATTTTTTCGGTATTGGATATCGAACATCGGAAAAAATTATATGTAATATTATTTAAAAAAATGAAGCTATTGTAAAAAAAACAAGTTTTAGTAATTTATAATATTAATCATTCAATTAATTTTTGTGTATTATATCTTTTATTAGATTACTAGAAATGTCTACGAAAATCGATGAATATTATAACGATGTAACATTTTAGTATTATAAATAATATAACATTTTCGTAGTATTGATTATTGTGTAATTCGCGACATTATAGCAAGTGATAAGGAATTACATGTTTATGATCGAGGTTATACTATAATATATCATAATATACTAAAAAATATATTTATATACAGAATCTTTATTTTCTAATTTTGTCGTCTAATAACATTAATTTACAAAATACATACTAATTAATTGATGTACACGCAAGATTGATGTACAGAGTTATTAAATCAAAACATATTTTGGAAGTGTGTGTGTGCGCGCGCGCGCGCGTGCGTGGTGTGTGTGTGTGTGTATGCTTTATTTATTAATCTATTTACCTACTTACATATCCTTCAATGAGAAACTTTATTTGCGAGTTTGTCATTATGAAATAGAAAATTAAATGTTCTATGCAAAAGTGATGCAACCATCTAAAGGAATAAGCTTTGTATATTGTACATTAGATTAAACAAAAAATTTGTAATATTTACATTAAATAGATAAATTGAATAAAAGCAAAGATTAATAGCATATATATCCCAACTATTGGAAACTTTTATAATCATCTTTAGCGATAAAAAAGTTTATAGATTATAAAAATTTTAATTTAGTATAAATATTGAATCAAAGTTTCCTTATTTTAGTGTATAGAGTATGCCTTTGAACTCTTTTTTGACGTCTTGCATATAAAAAATAAGATATTTGTAAATCATAGTGGAGTGACAACATCATGCATAGCATATCGCCACGTCCACGCTCTCGCAATTTCATCAAACTTTTCACGGTCGTTCATGTACATTTCACCCAATTCTGGTTCCATACAGACCTGCATATTTTATATTTATTAATATTTATTATTAAAATATAATACTATGTTTTAAATATTCATTATTAAATATTACTTTTTAGATGTCATAATCATAACATATGATCGCACAATTCATTTACAAATCTTTGTGAAAAATAAATAAATATAATCTTTATTAAAATATTATTATTCTTTATATTACCTGACAATATGGATCCGTCAGTAAGCTTTGAACACTGATTAACACCTTCGAAATTGTCAATGCTAATGACCAATTATGATGTATTGAGTCTATACCAACATCACCATGTCTAGAAACATTTGGATGAAGTATTTTTGTAAGAAATCTTACTACTGGTGGATACAGAGGATAACTGCAAAAATTTGAGACGAATGTGAAATCATAAACTTAAAAATTATTGATGTTATTGTTGCTGCTATAAAATTGTATTGTTGGTGTTAGTGCTATAATTTTGAGTGTTTTATATATAAAGTGAGGAAGCAAATGAAACAAGTACAATTAAAAATATATTAAATGGACATTGGAATTGGATATACGTACACCAAATTATTTAATTAGAATTATTTAGTTAATTTATCTTAATATTATCATTTTGTATAACTTTATAATCTTCATAATTTTATAGGAAGAAAATCAAAAATATTTCGATACATATAATAATTATAATAATAATTATATTTAAAAACTGTCGTCCTGCAATGCGATTTGGATTCTCTTAATTTTTGGTAATTCCGAAATTTTTAAGTTGCGAGGCAGAAGAAAGTACGACACAAGCTGATTTTAAATTTTAAAATTTTGTGCACTTTCAATAATAAAAGCACATATTTATACATACCTGCACGGTACTTGTAGATAAAGATAAAATAAACCTCCTTCGTATGGACTGCCTACAGGTCCAGTTATTGTAGCTTGCCAATGACAACACATTTGGTCCAAGGGTGTTGCTTCAATACCCTCAGGAGGATCTATCCTTAAACTTTTAAGTTCACTGTGTAATCGATTTTTCCTCCATGAATTCTCTTGGATTCTTGGCGATCGGGACCTCAGACATGTTTGTGCTAAACATGTTCTACAAGGTGCTGAAGAAGCCAGAAAATCATAAACTTTATACCAATTTT